CTGTGATGAGCAGTTATCATTAATTACATGATTTATATTCAGACTATTATCCTTATGTTTATTGTTATCACAATGTTTTGGTTATTGGCTCTCCAGCCTTCATCAGATGCATATAGATCTAAGCTGCAGCGTATTCTGAACTGAACCCTAGACAATATCTCTAAATAAAGGTTTCAATCCAGAATTCCCTGAAGATTACTCAGATGAATATCTGCTTGGGGAAGGCCAGAGAATACAAGAGAATAGTCCAAGTAAATATAGTGCAAATTATGAATTCTAATCTACAAAAATTGTTTTCAAAAACATTTTCCCCCTCTTTTTCATGAGAGTGCTAGTTATTTTGTCAAAAACATTTCTTCTAAATGAACAAATTTATTAAGAGTATAGATTTTTTCCCAAGCAACATAGGATTTTAACCAATATTTTGGTAGATTCATTTTTGTGTAAGAATTTTCCCTCAAGTTACTTAAAATGGTTGTTTAATTTTTTAGACTTGTATAAACAGAAAAGAAAGACAACTCAATGTGACTAAACTAGCAAAATTGGTAGAATTCTTGAATTTGCTTCTTCTGCGTGCTTTGTCCTGAAGGGATGTAAGCGATAATGGCTCTCCACACCTTCCTATCCTTCATATGTCCCTTCCAGTTCCTGTTCTACCATTCATTTACAAAAGCCCATCAGGTAGGCTCTTCAAAGTTTTCCTCTGCCGCTCTTGCCTTCAATATGTCCTATGAGTGCCAAATTCTCCAAGCCCTCTTTCTTCATTAAGTGTTCCAGAAATTTCCACTGCCTCTTTCTGATTCTAAATATAAGTGTACTTTTTGTTTCCATTTTCCTTGAAACTTCCTTATTGCTCACATGTTGTGTCCATGATATTCTTAGAATCTTTTTGTAGAATTACATTTTTGTTACTGCAAAGTAGAGGAAATTGTCTACTATTCACTGCCATATAAAGAGTATTAATATTACATAGCAGTTCAGCACTTTTTATTTGTTTCTAAGTAAAATTTTCGTTTTTCTTAATACTTTGTTTAGCTTTTGAAAGGTATCTTTAATTAATCCAATGCGCCTTTAGATTTTGGTGTAATGTTTTCTGTGATTTGTTAAAATACTTCCCAGATATTTAAATTTCTCTACTTGCTTCATATTGACATCTTTAATTTGTAGTTCCTATCTTAGGAGAGTCTCATTTTCTGGCAACCATGTAATTTTTCTTATAATAGTTAGTCCTTTCTTCATACTTTCTTTCTTTTACTGCTTTATCTAGGAATAATTGCATTTTTCTACACAGTGTCATCTGCATATCAGATGTTAAGATTGTGTCTGCCACTAATATAAAATAAAATATTTAGTGATAATTTTTGTTTAATTTAAATTTTTTATTTTTTCAAGTTGGTTAGCTACTTTGATGTTGGGTTTGATGAAGATTTAGGCAGGTTTGTGTGCAGTTATTTATTAAAAAAATATTTTTGTATTTACTGTGTTAACTACTTGTTGAATTTATGTTATCTTTGGTTTACTTGTTATAAAATTGCAAATTTAGTTGACTTAGTAACATCACTTTTGGCATATGGGTCAGAAGAAAACATGTCAATTGTTTTAATTGCCATGTTTTGTTCTGACCCAATAATAAAACAAATTTATATTTTTGCCTTAAATTTGGACTAACTTTTTTTTTACTCTGATGAAATGCCCATGCACACACACAGAGTTGATAAATTATATATATATATATATATATATATATAACCAAATAAAGGATTGGTGTATACAGAATAAATTCCAATAACCAACAATTACTATTCTTAAAAGAGTGCTCAATACAGAGTAGACTGAATATAATTATTTATTCAAAAATTATAACATAAATATGTTATAAAACATCATCACTTGATAAGACACCAGAGGTGTTGAAACAAGATAGCTATTTTTGTAGTGATTTTATAACATATTTATGTTATATTTATGTTATAATTTTCGAATAAATAATTATATATATATATATATATATATATATATATCCCTTTTTTATTTTAGATGTACTTTTTATCACATAAAATTTGTTGACGTGTGAAAAAATTTTCATTCAAAAAATGAGGCCAGAGAAAACATGTTTGAGAACCACTGTTGTAGGGAAATTTCTATGCAAAAAGAAATCATGTCATATTATAAATAAAAAATTTATTAATTCCTTAAAAATTATTTTGTGTATGTTTTGGATACGAAAACAAAAGCAAGCAGATATGTGTTTTAGGAGATCTGAACAAGAGATACGCGTTCTTCTTTAATTGAGTAATTGAACTTTGCTTTACTGTAGAGTCTCCCACATCTGAGCAGTCTGTGATGATAAAATCTGTTTGAGTTACCTCTCCTCTCTATTGCAACTCTTCTATGTTTATGACTATAAAAGGTATCTACATGGCGGCCATATTGTAGCTTAATAAAGCTTCAGTAAGCACCACTCCAACTCTCTGTCTTTGTTCATTACACAGTCTAAAAGCACACAGGATTTAACAGTAGTTTGTTTCCCTTACAAGAGGAGACATAGACACAATTGCTTTACTAAGTCTCTCAAATGTACAAGCTGATAGATGTATATTTACACTGTTAACCAATAATATAATGTTTAAGTAACTTATATGAATGAAAACTAAAGTGTTAAAAACTTAGAAACAGCTAGCTAGTAATGTGTAGCTTCTCCTTTCACTTGAATAAATTGACATGACATAGACTCTAGTCAAAATATATTGGCTTATGTGACTAGTCAATATTTTTTTATACTAGAGATCACTCAAGACAAGATGAGAACCACTCATGATAGAAGATTACTAAATGGGGTGTGTGATATGAATTGGAAAGAAAGTGGTATGAAGTGAAGGTTATGAGGATAAGGTGGATAGATAATAATTGAGTATAGATTCCATTACAGCTGTATTCAAACTTTTTGTCTCTCTATCTGACACAATTATTAATGAAATAAAGGTACTATACTAAGTTCACTAATGTATTATATATTTATTCTATTATGATATAGTGACAATTAGAATTTAGAACATTTTAATTTTTAAATCATTTCACCCCAAGCAAAATAATAAAGCCACTAAGATGCAAAGGGTTACTGTGTGTGAAAGAATATGAGAAAAAGAAAATGATATTAAGGAAAGTCAAGATCCAGAGCTTTGATTATAAAGCTGCAGGTTTCCCAGTGATGGTAGGCAGCAATTGGCTAGCTCTCAAAGAGAACCAGCCATATTATTCGTTTCAAAGTTTTCATGGGACTATCTGTCCTAGCTATCATCCCAACCCAAATCTTTGTGGCATTTAAGAAATCTGCCATTCACACAGCTGGGCTATATGCCTCACCGTTGTCCATATAGGGTGGATCATCCACCAAACCATTGTCGCAACTGTACCAGGACATGTGTTTGTTGAAGACTGCCACTAAAGCCTATTGTGACCCAAGTTGTGGCAAGATTTATTTCACTATAAAAATGTATTTTTACACTTTCATAGAATTTTGACCCCAGTTTGGTTGTTAACTATTTGTCCATAACTGAGACCCTTAACAGGTGCTACCACCCTGGGTCAGGTTGGACCTGGGAACAACAGCAATTAAGAGGTAGTTCCATGCTCCTCAAAACCTCTCGATGAGAGGCCTTGCTACCAGATGTAGTTTTTCATCATACCCATGAAAGAGAAGAATAAAAGAACAGGAATTAGGAAGATAAATGATAACAATTGACATTGCACGTAAATTTTTGATGATCAAAGTTTAAATTAAGCTAATTAATTAAATTAAACACTAATTAAGAACAAGTTAAGAATAAAACTAATGGAAAGAGAGGATATGTTTTTTGATGACTGAACTATCAATATAAGGATATTTTGACAGTGGGAGATGCAATTCTGGGGCCACATAGTGACAAGCTTTGGCTTATTCTTCCAACTTCATTCACAACCAACTACCCAGGAACTGATACAACCTCAGAAATCCTTGTAAATATAAACTTCATGAATCCTAACATTGCCAATTAATCATTTAGTGTTTATACTCGAGTATAGTTTTATGATTTGTTATTACACAAAAAATAGAGGGTTGCACTATACACAGGTAATGTTTTTGAAGAGGTTAAAAATCATGCATTTTCAGTGACTGATTGTACTATACACAAGTAAATTATTTCTGGTGGGGTTAAATTTCATGCAAAAAATATCAGGTGTCACACTATACATGAACTTGACTTATACACTGTAGATTCAATGATGTTAAACTACATCCAGCAACGAGGCTTTTGATTGGGAGATTGGAGGTTTTGAGGAGCCTGGAACCACCTCTTAGTTGCTGCTGTTCCCAGGTTCACTCTGACCTGGGGTGGTAGCACCTGTTAGGGACTCAGTTATGGTCAAATAGTGAATCCAAAAAACAAAACACTATGAAAGTATAAAAATACATTTATATAGTAAAAATCAATTGCTGCTGTACCCAGGTCCACCCTGACCTGGAGTGGTAGCACCTGTTAGGGTCCCAGCTATGGGCAAATAGTGAACTTCCAAACAAAAATCAGTACATTTTTATAATAAAATGAGCAACAATACATTTTTATAGTAAAGTTACCAATAATGCATTTTATCATCTACTAACAATATATCTTAAAAAACATACCTTTACTTGAAAAGTATAAAATTATGTACAAAATATATTCAGTTAAAGCCATAAAATCACATTCAAAATATTTAGATTTTGGTATTAAATAACCCATAGAGGTTGATATGCTGCAAAACAAAATCAACAAACAACAAACTGTGGATTCCAATCATGAACGGATGCTTGTATTATTGGAAAATGTTTAAACCATCAATTGATGAAATTTGCTAATCTCCAATGTACCATCAATTGACGATTTCAGCCATTTAAAGACTAATGAATAAAGTAGTGGTTATATTAGGAAATAATTAAATAAATAAAAAAAGGAATTAAAGCAAAAGAAAAAAGAAATTACCAGCTATTGACAGAGTTCCATAACTGCTACTGTTGCCTTTGCCATTGGTGACAAAACAAACCCAGATGCCTGCATCTTGCCATGTAACGTTTGGTATTACCAGGGATCCATCTTCATTGCTTGGTTGTCGTTTTTCCAATAAAACGTTTTTGAAGATATGATGCCATTCAATATAAGAAAAATTTTCAGGGTTTCCATCAGTGACGGAGCAATTCATCACAGCCATCATACCAGCCACAACTGTTAAATTATTGACAGAAATTTGGGGAGCATCTGAAAAGAAATAAAAAAAACGAGAAAAATGGGGGTTGTAAATTAGGAATAAGCAAAATTGTTGGAAAACAGAAATCATTTTTTCTTCTTTGGGATAATCGATTTTTTAAAAATAATTTCTTAAACTATGTCAATGAATTTGACTTCAATCATAACCTCCTGATGCTGGGAAAATTTTTAGTATATATTTATATGATAAATATTGCATATGAATTTTTATTAGAAATATGTCAGTTATATGCCATGTGTGATACATGCTTAGGCGATGATGTATCTTTCACTACATGACTGATGAGGCAGATTTTTTCCTGCAGTAGGTTGTCATTTCTCTCTTTGGTAGACCAGTTGCCATCCAAGTCTATAGAACCCAGTCTATCCTGCTATTTATCCATAGCTGGGGGGAGAAAAAGATGATTCATACCTTTCCCAAGGTTATTAACATGTAAGTAAGTGTAATGGATTTGACTGGAATTTGAACTCGGCTCTCCGATTCCTCAATCTGAGCCACTATCCATTACTCTGCTTATTTGGTGATATGAAGTTTTATGCAACTTAAATGTTGGTCATCATATTGGAAATAAATATATATAACAGACTAGTTGATATTTTATAATTACTTTTTAAATTAAGATGTACACTGACATTCTAAAAGTCATGTGATAACAATATAAAGATTTATCGATGCTTTTTTAAGTGTCACATGTAAGGAGAAGGTCAAACTAAACTAAAGAGTCTGTTCATGCAAGACAATACCTTTTCACATTCTCCAAAGCTGACTAATGCTCATCTTGCCAGAAAAATATTTCAAAATTTCCAAATTATTGGAATCCACTGCTACCAATCTCTCTAGATATTAATCCAACAGAAAATCTGTCCTGGGTATGACAATAAACTACATCCAACAGCAAGGCCTCTGATCAGAAGGTTTTGAGGAACATGGACCCACCTCTTAATTGCTGGTGTTTCCAGGTCCACCCTGACCTGGGGTGGTAGTACCTGTTAGGGTCCCAACTATGAGTGAATAGTTAACCCTCAAACTGGGGTCAAAACACTATGAAAGTGTAAAAATAGGTTTTAATACCAGAAATACTTTTTTTTTTTTAAATTATTACCAGCAAAAGATTTTTGAAGGAAAAAATATTACGAGCAATACATTTTTGAAGGAAAAAATTACCAGCAATACATTTTAGGAGAAGATGTTGCCAGCAATAAAGATTGTCAGCATTAAATAACCCATTGAGGTTGATATGCCATAAAATAAACTAAACCAATAAACCAACAGAAAATGTGTGGTTCATCATGAAATAGAAAACAACAATCAAGAAAATATCTTTAGGAAGCAATGAAAATTGTTGCAAGTGATGTTAAAGTTAAAATAAACGGTGCGATGGCTAAATTGTCATCTAAATTACACAAACGTGAAAATAACACTGACATCTCATTTTAACAGATATATTTACCAAAATTACACAAAAATATCTTGAAATACTATAGAGGAAATTTATTCAATAAAATTGCCATTGGCTTCCACCACAGCCTCCAGAGGACTTCATAATCTCCTATAATTCTTCTGGACAGTCTCCTTCTTTAAGAATGCTGCCATAATCCTTGCCTTCAGTTCATCTTTGGTGTTACGAAGAGTTTTGTTGGGCTCTTGCTCAACTGCGACCAACACATAATAATCAAGGGGGTTGCAGTCTGGGGAGGTAGATGTCCAGATGTAAGGAATGATGTGATCATGGAAATTGTCTGACAGCCATGACTGGGTTCTTCTGCTTGTGTGGCATGGTGAAGAGTCCTGTTGCCAGATATAGGGTCTTCCAGCAGCCATTTTCTTGACCCAGGCCAGCACTACCTCCTCAATGCACTTGATGTAGGCCTTTGTGTTGTGCCTGATGCCCTGCGGGGTGATGAATGGAGGCATAATGTTGCCATCACTAGTGATCACTCCAAATACCATGATGTTGACTGGATATATCATCCAACTCTTTCTGAATCCTCTGCACTGTCCTCACCTAAACACTCTAAAATGTTTGTACTGGAGCTTCCAGCACAAATGCCAAGCAGTACAGAAAGCTGTTTACAAATTTCTGGTGGAGTGAATTGTGTTATTGTGCCTAGCTGATCCTATTATACTGTTCAGTTAACAAAATAGAAAACAAAGTGCATATTTGAAATTAAAAATATAAAATGGCGACAATTTACCCATTTACTCTGTAGTAAAGAAGTGATTAAAAGGTTACAGAACATCTGTGATTAAAAGGTTACAGAACATCAACACATTCATGATTATGTATAAAAATTAAGTGAATTTTATATATAGTGATTTTTGAGACTTAGCATGACCAAAAAATAAAAAAAATAAATGGATTTGAAGGAAAAAAAAGACCCCAGAATGATGTCAAAATTCATGGATTTGATGGCAAAAAAAGACTCCAGAATGATGTCTTGCATGGACTGAACTGATTAAAAAAAAAGGAAGAGTGATTTTGATATTAAATAACCCAACAAGTGTAAATTGAACCAACTCAGTCCAACCTAATCTATCTTTTTCTCTTGTTATTTCACATGCAGTAAACCCTTGTGTCTTTATTACCTTGTTTGGGGTGAAATGATTAAAAAATGTTTATCTCCTATTAACTGTGTAAATCAACATGTGCATCTTGAAAGAATGACTGGAATTGCTAAGTAAATATTGAATACTTACAGTAGACATTTATTGGCGCATATGTGACAATACGATTGCCATAATGAAACCCTTCACACAGGCAGTATTTTTTGTTCCATTCCTTTGTCATATTTAAATTAAGAAAAACTGATCCTTGTCGAGAAATATTTTTCTCACCGCACATTAGTTTCACTTTCATTTCTTGATTCTTCAAGTTCCAATGACATCTTACGTCAACATTCTGGCCATTATAGATTTCTGTTTTAGATAGACTCATAATGAGATATGGTGTTTGATCTACAAAAATAAAACAAAACAAAATCATTTTTTTTTACTCCTTATCATATTTTGAATGCAACTAGTCAAAAACTTTGAAGAAGTTGTAGAAAGGAAATAATGGAAAAATATGAAAGAATTAAAAGAAAAATTTAAAAATACAACATAAATAAAAGTTTAAATTTTTAATCTGAGATTATTTCTTCATATTAGAAATTTAATAAAACATTTTTAATAACAAGAGATATTGTTGGATTAAAAAATCCATTAATTTCTTTATAAATCTCTCTCTCTCTCTTTCTCTCTCTCTCTCTCTATATATATATATATGAAAAGTGTGAGTATATAAATATAAGTATATATATATGTGTGTGTGTGTGTGTGTGTGTGTGTGTGTAATGCACGGTACTTATTTGAAAGAGCTCAATATCAGAGATAGAGCTGAGATCGCAAAAGCGTGAAACCCAGGGTCACAAACTCACATCAATCCAACCAAATATATATATATATATATATATATATATATATATATATATATATATATATATATATATATATATATATATATATAAAATCAATGAAAAGTTTAACACATCACAAAAATACAGTAATAAATCATGATTTATTTCGACCAGTAAGTCTCATCAAACCGGTCTGATGAAACTTAGTGGTCAAAATAAATCACGATTTATTATCATATTTTCATAATGTGTTAAGCGTTTCCTCGATGTATATCATATCGGACTGTATTCTATATATTGACCTCCCTAAAGATCTATATTTTTAATATTAAAAAGAACCACTTGCATTATCTTTTCCACTTAAAGATCTGATATTATCTATCTATCTGTCTCTCTCTGTCTCTCTCATATATATATATATATATATATATATATATATATATATATATCTTTTTAAAGAAAAAACAGACCACTTTTTTGAAGTGCTATCTGATGATCCAGCATCCTTTAAAAAGGCTCTGGTGAAATAAATTATTTTAATGGAACCTTAAATTGGTCTGTTTTTCTTTAAAATATTAGCTCTGGATTTACATTGAGCTCTCAGGATTTCATCCTCCTTGAGATTACCCATATGGATTACCAAGTTTTTCATAACATATATATATATATATATATATATATATATATATATACACACACACACACATATATATATTATTTTATATGTGCAGTAGAAAGTCTACAATATCAGTGTTAGAGGTAACATATTCAGTTGTATGGATGTGAGTTGGTGACCCTGAGTTTCACGCTTTTGTGATCATCAGACAAACTAATTTATTTTTAAAATTGGATCTATTTATGCTTGTTTGACTATGTTTGGTTGTGGGAGGGGGAATTTACTTCTGTGTTTGTTTGGGATGACACTCTCATACACAGACACACATACATACAGGTGTACCAATAATAAAAATAAACCAGCTTGTTTGATGATCGCCAAACCCATATCTATACAACTGAATATATATATATATATATATATCTATACAACTGAATATATATATATATATATATATATATATATATATCCTTGTGTCTTTTCTATATTAATTTCATGGTAATTGTTCAGATGAGCTCTTCACCATGGCACCTAGACTTGATGAATTTAAGTGCAGTACTAGATTGGCAATGGGGTCTCACAAATTTACAATTGAATTGGCTAGATGTAACCATAAGTTCTATGCTAAGAGTTTCTTTTCTTGCACTTCTCACACTTCTTGCTTGTGGAACTCCCTTCCAGCTCCATACTTTCCAACCAACTTTAATCTTGAAAAATTTAAATGCAATGTCAATCTTTGGCTACTGTCCTCCTGATTATTCATCTATTGCTCTGGCTCCTTAGTAATGTTTTTGTTTTCTAATTCTTCCACACCCAGTAACCTCTTGTGTCTTTACAGCCTTGTTTGGGCTGAAACCGATTAAATATATATATATATATATATATATATATATATATGGTAGATATGAACAGATTTAGATAGATAGATAGATAGATAGATAGATAGATAGATATTGGGTGTATTTGAGCAGAAATTTTTCCTTTATATAAGTTTTTCAATTGGTAGATGTAACTGTAAATTCTGTTCTAATAGTTTCTTCTCTTGCACTTCTCACCTGTGGAACTCTTATCTTCTTGCTTTCTTGTCAACTATGACGTTCATAAATTTAAACGTCTTCTTTAATCCTGTCCTTTTTATTGGCCTTTCTCCTCACCAATGTTTTCTTAATTTCTTTCACTCTCAGTAACCCCTTGCATCTTGGGGGCTTTATTGCCTTTCTTAGGGTCAAATGATTCAATATATATTAATGGATTTTTGAATCTGACATTATTTAATAGTCAGTTGTCATATTCTGTCTCCTTAAAACCTGTTCTTTTATTGTCCTCTCTCAATGTTTTTTTTCAGATTCTTTGACACTCTGTAATGCCTTGAATCTTAGTGGCCTTATTGCCTTGATTGGGATGAAATGATTAAAAAATTGTTATATAAGAATAAAGTGTCACTGCTGACACTTGCGTTTGAGCATAGATCACTAGTGAGCAAACACAGGCAATCCCATTATTGAATTAAGTAAACCATGTGACCATATAGGAAACGCATATATGGTAGGTAGCATGGGTCTAATTGATCGCTAGTTTTAGTCTATCCTCTATTACTATACGGACCACCATTCTCTACTCTATTCAATATACTATTTCTCTATATGGATTACTGTTCAAGCAAGTATTATCAAGCAAGTAAAATTAGTGTGAGTGTTATTCGAAGGTGTCCGACACCAGCATTGTTCAATAGTGTTACTATAGTTGCATCTGCAATTACAAAGTCTCTACTACAACGAGCATTATGAAAGTGACGAGTATTTGTTGGCATCACAAAAGTGGAAACGAGTGTTCATTGACGTCACAAAAAAAATATGTGTGTGTATGCATTATTATTATTACTGTAAGCCTTAGATTTAGTAGATATATATGTTTGAGCGACAACCTTGCTTTTTTCAAAAATATTGAAATGAATATTCATTCGCTTTAAGATCAAGAAGTTTACTAAATAGAATGTGCCCCACTTTTGTTTTTCTTTCAGTCCAGAGGCAAATTTTTTTAATGATTTCTAGATCTCTTAGCTGACAGACAGTAATTTCACTGTTTAAAAAAACAGTGAGATCTATTCAAACACATGTAATAATAATAATAATAATAATAATAATAATACACACACACATACATATATATATATTTTCTAATTATTTCACTCCAGGCAAGCCAATAAAGCCAATAAGACATAAGGGGTTACTGAGTGTAAAAAAATCTGAGAAAAAAAAAACATTATTAAAGAGAGAGGATAATAAAAGAACAGGATTTAAGGAAATAAAAAATGATGATTGACACTGCATTTAAATTTTTGAAGGTCAAAGCTGATTGGACAGTAAAAAGTCTGAAGAGAAGTCCACCAATTGAGATGTGCAAGAGAAGAAAGTATTAGCACAGAAATTATGGTTACATCTAGCCATTTAATCTGACACCTCCTCATACCAATTAAACAGTATTCCTCTACTTTGAGTGACTCTTGAGCCCTGTATTGGGTGAATTGTAATATAAAAATAAATAAAAAACTGTGCTAACAAAAATGTGCTGTTTTGTAATAAGAAACCCACAAACTAATAAGATAGATTCATCAGATCCTGACTGGAGAGAACCCAGTAATAACAGATTTCACCTGTCAAAAGATGAGACCTAGCTGCCAATCTAGTACTGCACTTAAATTCATAAAGTCCAGACACCAAGAAGGAAAACTTACCAGAACAATTACCATGAAAATATTTATAGAAAAGGCACAGGGAAGCTACAAGCAATGTAAAAGTGGCTGAAGCTGAGATGCCATGTTAGGACTGACAATATGGCAGATTTTTCTTTGGATTTTGTTAAGCATCTCTAAATACATAGCAGAAGCACCAGACAGGATGTGATAGCAGTACTTAATGCATGGATGTGTTGTGTGTGGATATGAAACATCGAACTCATTAACAAAGTGAATGAACATACGCCAACATAAGTATATAAAAGTTCAAATAAAATACAAATATATATATAAAGTTATTTTTTTTTTCTTCATATATATATATATATATATATATATATATTATATTTGAAATTCTTAATGCAATGTTAGAATATATCTGCACTTTCAAAAGACTATGTACCAAAAAACAATATGAATTTTTGTACTTATCTGTTTAGTTTGCATGCATCCTGATACTTTGACTTCCAGGAGCTAAAGAGGCTGATTGACTTTCCCACCTAATGATGTCTCATGCAGCTCTTGTCAGGTCATGTGACTGATTTTAATTCTCATGAGTATTTATAATTAATTTTTATTGTTATTTTTATTTGGTTCAAGGGAAGATATCTTTTTGTCTATTGCTAGAGCTGAATGGTAGACTTATAACTAAGATAGATTCTGTTGAGAAAAATTATCTAACATGACACAGTGAACCATTTTTCCTAGCAGGAAGCCGAGCAATTGATTCAATGTAATTCTTCCACTTCATGTCAATGGAAAATGTTAGCCTAAGTGAAAAAAGCAGTAAAAGATGAAAAAGAAAAACATTTACTCCTTTAGATATACGCTAATTACATCTCGTTGAATGTTCTTATCTTTATTACTATTATCACAATGTTTCAGCTTTTTGGCTCTTTGACCATCTTCAGGTATCTGTCAATCTGAGTAACCTTCAAGGAATTTCAAACTAAACACTTTATTTAATCTACTGGGTAGATTGTTCATGCTCGGGGATATCTTATTTTGTTCTTATTCAGTACTGCTCAGTTATTGCTTTCTTGTTCACACTGACTCTAAGCTGGCTTCAGGATAGAACTCACAATTACTTTACCACCAAATTCAGCAACTAATGCTTTAATCCATGGGAGAACCCTGAACGCAAGACTTGGAGTCTTACATGTAATATTTGTCTTTCCTTCTGCTGCTGTTGTTGTTGTCTCATTCTGTATTCACCATTGTTCATCATCTCTTATTGCTGCTGGTGTTGAATCTTTGTTGTCATTTTTCTTTTTTTATTTGTTAATGGTTTCTATATGGTATCCCTAGACCTGGACAGAGCAATGAGAACAATTTACACCTGTAGTTTAAAGAAAGGATTCACTTCTAAATTCCTGGATCAACATACACCTGAAGAAGATAAGAGGCCACAATGGCCCAAACCTTGTGACAGGACCATCGGGTACTATCCCTGAACACACTGACTGGGAGGAAACCTGATTTGGGGCCCTGGGTAGTTCTTTGTGACCTTTGCTATCTTTTCAATATTTGCTTTTTTCTACCTACATTTATACATTACAAATTAAACCAAGCACAACTGACTATTAAAGGATGAAAAATTTTTGCAGATTTTGATGTCATTCTGGGGTCTTTTTATTTTTGTCAAAATCCATGAATTTGTTTTGCTTATAATAAGTCTAGAAAAAACACTATATAAAAAAGTTCACTATTTTTTATCCATAATGTTGAATGTGTTAAAATTATTCAACCTTTTAACAAGAAAAATCTCAAGTTGATGTTAAAAATTGCTGCAAAACTTTGTTGATTTATTTAAGATGGAATGATCTATTATGACGTGTCTCTAATTTGTATATAGATACATTGTATTTATTTTCAATTTTTCTAGTTGAATTGTTTACCTATATTGCATATTATTGCACATAATAAAGTTACAGGAAAATTTGTATTTTATATGAAAACTGAGATGTAGTAGAGTGGGACCCCATATCATAGATTGGGGTAGGGGTGAACCATAGATGAGGGAGACAGTGACCATTGCACTGACCTACTTTTTACACAACAACAAAGATGAGGATATTAGTATGAATGTAAATAATGTAAACTATGATAACTGCTCATTCCAGAAATACAATCACAAATTATTTTTTATTCATTTGATCATTTAAAGTGGGTGAGGCTTTACTTAATCTCTTTGTTATTATTTTAGAGCTTAATAAACAACTTACAGAGGAATGCAGATACTATGACATTAATATATAAATATTTTATTTATAAAACTTTCAATGAAGATGTGTGGATGTGTTTGAAAAAATTCTAATTATTTTTTTTATAAAACAGTACAAGCATTTTTAAAAAGTGTAATCACTTCAAAAAGTACAATCATTTAAAAAAATTACACCCATTTCTAAAAATACAATCACTTAAAAAATAAGCAGCAGGTCAAAAATATAGTCACTTAAAAAAATACTCACCAGAAACTTTGAGCTGAAATTCCTCTTCATTTTGATCTGTGATACATGTTATACTCGTGCCATTATGAGTTTTAGTGATGTTTTTGATTTCCAGGATAGATGTTTTGGTGCTGTGATTGCAAGAAACAATGGCATCTTTAAAGAGTTTGGTTGTCCTTTTACCAGATGATTTGCAATTGTATTTAATATCAATAGACTTGCCATCAGAATCTTTCCATTCTAACACACTCCCAGGTCCCCAGTGACAGATCAGAGAATATTTCTTGTGTAGCTGGGCGACCTTCAAACCATTAAGTGGTTTAAGGATGTTCATTGAAGCTGAAAAGATAACAATACTTTTGTTGAAAATTGATTGAAGACAATAAGCATTGCAAATAAATTCCTGAACACAAACATTTTTTATTCTGTTCTTTAGTTGGCTGGTTGATTTTGTTTAGTAACATGTCAACATCTCTATGGGCTATTTAATACCAAAATCTAAATATTTTGAACAATTCTATGGCTTTAGCTAAATATATTTTGAATGCAATTCTATGCCTTCAACTATAGATAAAATGTATTGTTGGTAATTTTACTATAAATATATATTGTTGGTAATTTTTTTTATATAAAAATAATTGCAGGTATTTTTTATTGTAAAAATGTATTTTTATACTTTTGTTTTTTGTTTGGTGGTTCACTATTTGCCCATAACTAGGACTGTACTACCATCCCAAGTCATGGTGGACCTGGGAACATTAGCAGTTAAGAGGTGGTTCCCTGCTCCTCAAAAGCTCCAATCTCTCAATCAGAGGTCTTGCTGCTGGATGTAGTTTATTGTCACTTTTCACTAGAAATGAAGGATAACAGATATTGGCAGAGAAAAATAGAATCAAAGAGACAATTTCAAATTCCGGTCAAGACAGTTGAATCCACTTCATATTAATCAATTTCTCTTATGTTCGATCCCACAAGCTACAATACAGCAGAGGAGATTGTACCTTTTAACCTTGGTAGGACAACACTACTGTGAGAAGGAAAGTCTGAATTCAAAATGTAACCTTTCTATTTAGAATTGTGCCACTGGGTAAAAGCCAGCATTGACACTTTTGTGCCATCTCAGAAATACCAAATGAAGCAGGAGTTCGGGTATTGTCATGCCCGTCCACTCTTTGATGTTGTCTGACCAGCTTTTGCGTTGCCGTCCCCGCTTGCGTCCACCTTCAAAAACGCGTTGCTTGATGGTCTTGCAGAGATTGTTATGCCATATGACGTGGACAAACCATGACATCTTCCGATGCTTAATAGTAGGAGAGATTCTTTTTGGCCCACAAGACTTTTGACCTTGCTCGTACACAGCCATTGGTTTTATGCTCCCAGTATGAGATGCGCTTATGTTTTTACAAGTTGTTAATTGTGAAATTGGAACAGTCTCCACGTCACTATTAATAAAAAAAGAAAGACAAGAAGGTCAGGATCTTCTTTCTTTCTTTTTTTCTTTCTTTCTTTCTTTCCTTCGTTCCTTTCTTTCTTTCTTTCCTTCGTTCCTTTCTTTCTTTTTAACTAATAATGAAAAAAAAATGCTGTGAGCGTTCTTTTCTTTGAGACGCATATTTGCGATCAGGGCGGTGAAACACGTAATATGTTCCTTCCAGCTGTTGCAAGAAGGGTCCTTTTGTATGTAATTTCACAACATAACTGAGAAGCATGGTTCCAAAAGGGTCTGTGTTAAGAAAGGATTAATTAAAACTTCCTCCAGGATGATCTGTTATCGGTGGCTCTCAGGAGTTCCGGCGTTGTCATGTCCGTCCACTCTTTGATGTTGTCTGACCAGCTTTTTCGTTGCCATCAGCCTGCATCTGCCTTCAACAGTGCGTTGCATGATGGTCTTGTAGAGGTTGTTATGCCGTGTGACATGACCAAAGCATGACGTCTTCCGACGCTTAATAGTAGTGGCGAGGAGAGATTCCTTTCGGCCCACGAGACTTTCGACCTTGCTCCGTACATAATAATTCGTTTTGTGCTACCAGTAGGAGTTGTGAAGGAGCTTTCTAAAGCATTTGTTCTCAACGTCTGGATCCTTTTTTGTCCAAGTCTCACAGCCGTAGGGGGAGGATGTAGAGGAATCATTTACATATCACAACAAAAAGATTTATTTTAAAGAAAAAACTGGTGTATACATTTTTATATTATTTTAAGAAAATATTTTTAATACACAATATGACAATTGTTTGTGTGATGAAATAGGTCTATTTTTGCAAAAAAATTTCTTATTATTAAATAACATTTATATACATAATTGATGAACAAATAAATTTGTATAAATTAATAAACGTATATGTTCATTTATTCTTCAAGATAAATATTTACTATCCCCGCAATATTTGTGCATGTGCTTCTGAAAAGAAATCTCAAAAATGTTTAAAAAATTCAGGAATTAAAAAAAAAAACAGCAAATATCAATAACAACTAGTCCAGATCAATCAGTTAGTCAAGTGCCATACGTGATACACGGTTGGGCAATCATGTCTCTTTCGATTCATGACTGACTTGGCAGAAGATATTCCTGCAGTAGGTTGCTGTTTCTTTTTGCGATAAACTGGATGTCAATCAAGGCTATAGGATCCAGTCTGTCTTGCTATTCAACCCATAACTGGAGGGAGAAGAGAGAATGCAGTGAACTCGGTTGGAATTCGAACTCCACTCTCTAATTCGTCAATCCGAGTCGCAGGTCAGAGATCAATTTTATACTATGGATATCATAAACATGAACCTCTTTCTAATTCAATATTTTTTTTTATTCTGAAAATGTCATGCCTTGAAGGAGTTCTAATGAATTCAGTTAATTTGCAGATTAGAACCCGCTCTCAGTTCACATTAAAAATTTCCCAAATATCTACATTTAGGTGTAAATGTACATGCTTCATTCGAAAATGACGATAAATTTGATAAAATCTACCGTTTTGGAGTTATCGACAGTAAAAGTTCGGATTCATTCGCGTCGTTGGTGGCAACCATTACTGGCGTTGTTTGCATACATTTGCGGCGAAAAGCTAAGCGCTGAAGAACGTAGTTAACGACCTTTTCTTTTTTATTGATCTTACTCGTCTCAACGTGTCTCAATTACTGCACAATAGAACTATATTGCGTGCGTAATAATCAAGACAAGTGAATATTCCACTCATAGTTTTTCCGCAGCAAATGTATGCGAACAACGCCAGTAATGGCTCCCGCGACGCGAATAAATCCGAATTTTTACTGTCGATAACTCCAAAACGATAGAGTTTATAAAATTTATGAAGTTATTTTCGAATGAAGCATGTAAAAATTTACACCTAAATCTAAATATTCGGAAAATATTTATTGAAAACTGAGCGCGGATCCTAATCTGCAAATTAACCATGAATTCTAATGTACAAAAATTATTTCCCGAAAATTATTTTCTCTATTTTTTTTTTATTAGGTGTGATGCTATATTTTTGATAATTTTTATTGATTAACAACTAAAGTAACAAAAATAAAATTTAACGAAAATTTTAAAAAGTAAAAAAAAAAAAAAGAAAAAAAAAGTCATTTAAACTCAACATCTTTCTTCCAAACAACGCCTAATTCTCGTTTACATACCCATCCCAGAAAAAAAAAAATTAGTCTTCATCATGACTAATTGCTACATATTGTTTACTGAAAACAGGTGGTGAATGTTAAGCAAAGGGTTGTTTTTAAGCCCTTCCCATCGAGCGGAGACAAATAATTAACCACGAATAGATTGACTGCCTGGCTGTAATTTTTATCTAAATTTTGATCATAAAAACTAGTTTGTATACATTTTTAGTATATAAAGTGTTTATTTAAGATTTTGTTTGAAAGGAAAATTAACGGTAAAAACTGATTCCTCAGCCTTTTCTGCATGAACTAAAAAAAAGAAAAGGAGAATCCCCAAAAGAAAAAGAAGATCCCCAGAAGAAAAGTTGACTAACAAAGAAAAGTAATAATTAAATATATTTCTTCGAATCTTTGGTAATCAAATTAAAATATAAAATAAAGGTTAAATGGCTGGTAAATAAAAGGACCGGTACGTACTACCCACAAACACACTGACTGGGAGGAAGACTGATTAGGATCCCGGGTAGTGCATTGTGACCCTTGCTATCTTATCAATATTTGCTTTTTTTTTTTTTTTTTACTTTCATTTATATACGTTACAAATTAAACGAAACAACTGTCTATTAAAAGATGAAACATTTTTCGAATTTTGACGTCATTCTGGTTTGGACATCAGTGAATTTGTTTTTAAGTCTCGAAAAAAGCACGATAAAATTCACTATATTTTATCCGTAATGTTTAAATGTGTTAAATTAACTTTTTAACAAGAAAAATCTCAAGTTGATGTTAAAAATTTGCTCAAAACATTGTTAATTTATGAAATACGGAGTGATCTATTAAATTTATGATGTCTCTCTAATTTGTATTTAGAAACATTGTAATTTAAAAAATTTTCTACGGTAGGCCGACTAGTATTGCCTAGGAGCTGGGGTAGCATTATGCACGGACTGTGTGAAGAAATCAGGTTTTTCACAAAAACAATTCAGAGGTCGCACTATATATGAAGTAAACTTATACACGAATATGTACGGTAAATAAAATAAAGCAGAAATCGATAATATATTTTATTAAATTATTCGCAAGTTTCTGTCGACATTTTCTAAAAAGAAATTGATGAAATTGAAGCTGCAAGCTCTAAACAGCAACGAAAATAAAATATAAATTCAACCACTTTAGTTAGAAAGACAAGTAATGACGTCCCAGTCACAAAACTGAAAAATGTTATAACTTCAGATTAAAAAGTATCACAACCACTAGTTGACATTTTTAATACTAACACTCTGCATTATTCACTCGTTTCCTTTCCACTGAATTGTTTTTCAAAACTCCTCTACTGCACTACTTAATTTCAGTCATGGTCATTTTTTGTTGCCATAGCAGGATCTGACAACATAAGTGCGAAATACAAACATGCTATCATTCATTCATCTGAATCATTTGCTGTGGCAGGATAAAATTTTTGCTATGCAAACAAAATCACTTCTAGAACATTAAAGGTTAACCAATTGGTGATGCTCTGCTCATTCCTGGAAATAAAACAAAAATCAATCTCGACCACCAAAATGGATTAGTTTTTTTTTTGTTTTTTCCGAAATGAAATCGTTACCCTTTGTTTTAAAATGTTCACCAAAAATCAATGATTTATTCGATTTTTAATACTTAGTTATTAATGTATGAACTGTAGATTGAATGAATTATTTTATTAGTAAATGTTGTGGAATTAATTTTGTGGGGTCTTTTTCACCCTCCCCCACCCGCTTTCGATAATTCGTGTGTACTTTTTAATTTGGAGGGAGGTGTGTTCATCAAATATTTTTGCATTTATATAAAGAAAAATCCCTGAAGATGTTATTTCAGTCAAAAATTGATGTAATATCAAGTAGAAACATCGGGAAAATTCGTCACGAATGTTACCAAAAATAATTCAATCGAACTCAAAATAATTTTTCTCATAGTTCGTCCTTGCATACTTTAATTAAAACATATTATTTTCTTTCAGATTGGACAGAAAAAAATTACAATTAAATTCTTAATATTTATTTTTTTTAAATTACTTGTAATTTCTTAGTGCGATTTTGAAATTCATTCCTCAGAAAATATTTTTATTAACTAAAGACATGATTGAAGAATTGAAAAATGTTAAGTTTAATGCCATTTAAAAGAGTTCTTTTAGCAACTGTTAGATTATTTTTGGTATTGCTGTTCAAAAGAAGTATAAGGGCCCATTTTATTTTCATTTTCCTTAAAACTTCCTCGTTGTTCACATGTTTCCTCCATAGTATTCTCAAAATCTTTCTGTAGAACCATATTTCTGTTGCTTCAAGTTTCCTCTTCATCTGTGAGGAAGATTTCCAGCATTTAGAGAAGGACAAATATAGCAGTTCAGCAGTTTTTCTTTGTTTCTAATGATTTTTTCCGGTTTCTTAATAATTTGCTGTCAAAAACATTTCATAGTTTATTGATACAAAATTTATTTTTGAAAAAATGACAACACAAAGTTGAGTTATCTTTAACAGAAGAAGAAAAGTTTTGATTGGTAAAATTTTTTCAAAGTTTAGTTTATTGGATGGGGGATTATTCATTTTACCAATTAGGAAATTCTCAATCTTCTTTTTCTGTGTGTCACGTCCTTTCAAGACGTTGGCGATCATCGCTCTCCACAATTTCCTGACCTCTGTAGCTCTTAATAAATTTGATCTTTTCGTTATTTCTTCTAAACCCTGTTCTGTCACCCATTTACTCAAGCTCGCTACGCAGGTTACGCGTTGTTTTCCTCTGTTCCTCTTGCCTTCAATCTGTCCTGTGAGTATCAGATTTTTCAAGCCGTCTTTTCTCATAATCTGTCCTAGAAATTTCACTTGCCTCTTTCTGATGTTAAGTATAAATGTTTTTTTCCCATATGTTTCAATTCACGGTATTCTCAGCATCCTTCTGCAGAACCACATTTTTGTTGCTTCAAGTCTCTTCTTCATCTTTGAGGAGATTGTCTCGCATTCACTGCCATATAGGAAGACTGATATTACGTAACAATTCAGTACTCTTTTCGTTTCTGTTGTTTCAAGTCTCTTCATCTTTGAGGAGATTGTCTAGCATTCACTGCCATATAGGAAGAATAATATTACGTAACAATTCAGTACTCTTTTCTTTATTTCTAACGAAATTTTTCTGTTTCTTAATACTTTACTTAACTTTGAGAAGTCATATTTCGCTATTTCAATGCACCTTCAGATTTCAGTGTTGCACTTTCCGTCCTTAATTAAAACACTTCCCAGATATTTGTTGTACTTGTTTGATTTTGGTATCCCCGTTTCGTAATTTGAATGTTGGGCTGTTCCTTTTGTTAACAACCATGCAATATAAAAAAGAATGAAGAATAGAAAAAATAGAAGAATGGAAAAATTGAAGAAAGAAAAAAAGCGAAAAGAATACGGTAAAGAATAAAATGAACAAACAAAAGAATGAGGAAAAGAATAGAGAAGAATGAATGTAAAAATAGAAATTAATGAAGGAAAGAACAAAAGAATGAAAGAAAAGAATGAAGGAAAGAATAAAGGAAAGAAAGAATAGAATAAAGAAAAGAATGAAGAAAAGAAAGAATAAAATGAAGAAAAGAACAGGAAAAAATGAAAAGAATGAAGGAAAGAATGAAGAAAAGAACAAAGGAAAGAAAGAAAAGAAGGAAAGAATGAAAAAAATAATAAAGGAAAAAAGAAAAGAATGAAAGAAAGAATGAAGAAAAGAACAAAGGAAAGAAAGAAAAGAAGGAAAGAATGAAGAAAATAATAAAGGAAAAAAGAAAAGAATGAAAGAAAGAATGAAGAAAAGAACAAAGGAAAGAAAGAAAAGAAGGAAAGAATGAAGAAAATAATAAAGGAAAAAAAAAAGAATGAAAGAAAGAATGAAGAAAAAAGAACAAAGGAAAGAAAGAAAAGAAGGAAAGAATGAAGAAAATAATAAAGGAAAAAAGAAAAGAATGAAAGAAAGAATGAAGAAAAGAACAAAAGAAAGAAAGAAAAGAAGGAAAGAAAGAAAAGAAGGAAAGAATGAAGAAAAAAAGAAAGGAAAAAAGAAAAGAATGACTTAAAAAATAAAGATAAAAATAACGAAAAGAACAAAGAAATGAATAAAAAAAAACGTAACTTACAGCTTAACTGGAAGAAAGCTTGAAACAAAATCAGGAACCAAAATCTGGAAGGTAGCATTTTCTGAAATAATAGAATTTGAATTTGATTTTTTTTCAGCGTCTACTACATGTATTTTCAATCATTAGTCCATATAAATATCTTTAGCATCTGAAGATGGAAAAGTGGAAACTGCTTTGAGGCAAATACTTGGATATAAAAAAATTAATCAAATAATAAAAGAAAAAATTCTAATGTTTTAACTGAATATTCTCATCCCAACATCAACAATAGCGAAAGATACAAGACATCTCTAGAAAGCATCTCGCCATTTTAAACGTCTCGAGAATTGATTACAACTTGATAACCAATCAGAGATGAGCTTACTGCGCATACATGAACAAACTGAGATAATTGGATGAGTTCCCAAGAGGAGTACCATGGAAAGATACTTTTACATGTATATTAAATGGCTGACTTATTTAAAAATATGACAACTTATCTTGTAGTGGAAGACTTTTTGGTCATTCTGCATTCTACTCGGTCTCTATTTCCATGGCAAATGTTTCGATGTTTATTCTTTAGATTCACTATTTAAGCCCTTTACAACTAGGGTACGCCATACTATATCCACGAAGTTGAATCGTCCTCATTTCTTCCGTATTCAAATCGTAAGGAGAAAGTTCCACTCAGATATCTTTTTCCTACGAACTGCTGCTTTTGTAGAACAGAATACTACGTGGATGCTCTCCTGAGTACAACAATCTGAACCTCTTCAAGTTAAGCGTCACTTCTTATCTATTCTCCTTATCTTCATAATCTTCACCTCCTACCACCTCTCTTACATTCATATTGCACATCACATTCAGTTATATTCTACCGGAAGTGGCTCGTATTGGGTGAATTTTAGTATAAAAATGGCTGGTAATAATGTCAGACGAGTTTTTTTGTCTGTTTGCCAAACCTCTGTGGTTGCGATCACTGCTTGTTAAGTCAGACGAGGGTATGCCATAGGGCATCTCGTTTGGGGCGGTAGACAGCTACCCGACCCCGTGTATATTCTTTACGGAGAATTTATACCCCACGTAAAAAAAAAACAGCCCTGTGCCACATCCTGCCTTGTCGGGATGTCAGTCAGTTATGTGCCATGCGTGATACACGCTTAGGCGATAATGTATATTTCGATACATGACTGACGAGGTAGATTTTTTCCCACAGTAGACCAGTTGCCATCCAAGGTCTGTTTTTCTCCCACAGCTTGGGGCGCCGGCGGAAGAAGAGGATTCATACCTTTTCCAAGTGAATGTAATGGATTCGAACTCGTCTCTCCGATTCCTCAATCCGAGACTCTATCTATTACTCCACCGGGGATGTAACGGGTAAATACCGTTTTTATGAAGGCGGACAATAAGTGTAATAATAGCATTGATTGGTGTAACATGCAATTGTCGAATCAAAATAGGCAGTATTAGAAAAGAACAAAAAATATGTTTATAACGTTTAAAAAGATTGCATTGTACCAAAATCAACGAGTAGAGCTTCCAAGAGTTGGAAAGACGAAATTAAAAAATTAAAAAAGGCGCCAATCTCCCGCTGTTCACGGCAGAAAGAATAACAAAAGAGAAACATTTATGTGAGGTTTGTGTGAACAAGAGTTATGCAAGGATCTTGTAATGTACAAAAGTACAAGTACAGTGGAATCTCGGTTTACGAATTTAAATCGTTCATGAAGCCCGTTCGTAACCCGAAATGTTCATAAACAGAAACTATTTTTCCAATAGGATTCAATGTAAAATGGATGAATCCGTTCCTGGTCCCAAGATAATTGCTTATTTAAACTTTAACAACAGTACTTTGTGCGCGCGCGCGCACACACACACACGCGCGCACGCACACACACACACACACACACACACACACACACACACACACACACACACACACACACACACTAATGAAAATCATTAAATCTAAGAAAAAAAAAGTACTAAACAGATAAAATATAGATGATCACTTCAAGTTAACCGTACCTGTAGGAGAGTAGATGGCGTAAGGGGAAGGAAAGACATGATCATCTCTTTATTTGTAAGAATAGTATATAGATCGTTGATTTTGCCATATGAAACTGAGTAGGAAGAGGCAATATCATCAACAATTGTTTCTCTTTTAATTTTAATTTTTCCTTTCCCAGTATCACTGCTAGCTTTTTTTGGAGCCATGATTCAGGACTAATGAAGAGAGAAAAAAAGGCACAGTACAATAAAATTGGAAAAGAAAATCACAGCACAAGAAACGAAAGTATACAATATGGCGGTCGAATCAGAAATTATTCTATTTGGGTTGACTCGGTCCAGTTTTGCTCGGCAATGTTGTTCGTGAACTGAAGTTTTGTTTGATAACTGAGGTATTTTCACCTCGAATATTCTGTTTGAAAGCCGATTTGTTCGACATGTGAGATGTTCGAGAACCGAGGTTGCATGTGTATGTATATATATATATATATATATATATATATATATATATATATATATATATATATATATATATATAACGAGGGATGCTGGAAATTTTAAATTTAATTTCTTTAATTTAGCCGATTTAATTTAGATTCTTCTTATTTTTCTTTCAATCACTTTTCTAAGTAGATATCCCACATTGTGATAACAGGAAGCTTGCCAGGAATGGTGAAATGTTTTAAGAGCCCGGGCACATATTTGCTGTGGATAACTATGTAATCAAGGCAAACTCTCGACATTTTCGTCGTAGTGGATTATTTTTTTCCTTTGATCAGAGTAGCAGCTGTCAAAATTGTGTTCAGTCTCGCTACTAAAATTCCTATCATCCCTCGTTCGTGCGCATGTGTAGTCGCACCAACATAACAAATTTAATCCAATGAAGTCCTGAAGCACGATTGACTCAATATTGTTCTTTGGTACATAAAATATACATATCGTTATCGCTCTCTCATATATATATATATATATATATATATATATATATATGAGAGAGAGAGAGAGAGAGAGAGAGAAGATAGGTTCACTTATTGTCCGGTTTACACTCCATCCTGGTCTTTTGAACAGGATAGAGGTTTATCTCTTTTTTCCCGTTTAGGATTTGGTTTCCGGTTCCCTCCAAAGTTTATTTCAACTCTAAATGTCTAATGACTCCGCCTAAACTCTGAAATTTATTGGTTTTCCAGTTTCTTCTAAAGTCTTTTCCTTCTCTTTCACTTCCCGTAGCCCCTTGCGTCTTAGTTATATGCTTCAAGCATTTAAAAGAAGATTTTATAGCACCAAGGGGCAGACCACCAAACGTTGGGAAGACCAAATTAAAAAGGACACCAATTTCACTTTGCTCACAACAGAAAAGATAGTAAATTTTAATCATTGATGGAAGGACTATGTGAATATGAGTTCTGCAACATTCCCGTAAAGGTTGATGAAGCTAAATTAGTAAAAGCAAAGAAATTTTAACGCCTCCCAAACTAAACTTCCCTCCTTTAATCATCTGCGAGACTCCTCTCTACTTCCATCAGCATGGCTGATGCTAACCTCCAGGAAAGTGACTCATTGCGCCTTCTGTGGCGAACGTTCTCAACTGACATGAAGTGGAAAGACTATATTGAATCCATTTCTAGATCAGCTGCTAAGAAATTCGGTTCACTGTGTTGTGCAAGCCAATTTTTCTCTTCAGAATTTATCATGCATATCTATAAGTCTATCATTCGTCCATGCTTAGAATATTGCTGCTACATACGGTCTAACGCATCTGCTCTTTACCTTGAGCTTCTTGATATAATCCAAATAAGAATCATCAATATTATTAGTTCTGATCTGGTGGCTCGGCTGCAGTCACTTTCCCACCACAGTAAGAGTTGCCTCTCTGTGTCTTTTCTATAAATACTTTCATGATAATTGTTCGGATGAACTCTTCGCTATGGTACATAGACTTTTTGAATTTAAGCGCAGTACTAGATTGGCGACGAGATCTCATTAGTTTACAGTTGAGCTGACGAGATGTAGCCGTAAGTTCTATGCTAACAGTTTCTTTTCTCGTACTTCTCATTTGTGGAACCCTCTTCCAGCTCCAGTCAACTTTAATCTACAAAAATTTGAAGGCAATGTCAATCGCCATAATGTTTCTGTTCCTCATTCTTCCACACCTACTAACCTCTTGTATCTTAGTGGCCTTGCGTGGGGTGAAATCGATTTAAAAAACAAAACAAAAACAGAATTTTACTGCTATTCTAATAATATATAAAAATTTATCAAAATTTATATTAAAAAAACGCGTTATTATTATAAAAATATTTAATCTCGGAAAATCTAAGAGTCAGATTATTTTTTGTAAGTTTTTCTTTCACCTTTTTTTGTTATCATAATTCTCTTGGTTTTGAATTTTCCTGTGGCCCAAAGAAACTAGAACATCTACTTCAAGGTGTCATAGTCTCTTAAGCTGAATCTCTTCATTGCATTTTGAAGAATAGGACGATATTCTTTGAGGAACTATGCGATGCGAAAAGGAAAGTGCTGAAAGAACTAGATCATTTTTGTCTCTGCTTATATGAGCGTTGTCAGCCGCCTCACAAAATGTAGGATTGTTCTGCATTTTGATATTTGATTTTGATTACACACACACACACACACACACACACACACACACACACACACACACTATATATATATATATATATATATATATATATATATATATATATATATATGGGTAAAATGTATGACAAAGTCGCAAAAGTTTTCTTGTGATGCGTTTCGTTATTTTTAGGACTTCATCAGGACTAAATTTGTTTTGTTGGTGCGACTAAACATGCGCTCAAACGAGGGATGCTGGGAATTTTAAATTTAATTAATTTAAAAAAAAATCTAGCCGATTTCATTTAGATTCTTCTTTTTCTTTCAATCACCTTTGTTAGTAGATATCTCACACTGTGATTAACTGTATGTTAATATATAAAAATATTATCAAAATTTATATTTAAAAGAAACGCGTTTTAATGAAAATATTTAATCTTGGAATCTCAAAATAATCTAAGAGTCAGATTATTTTCTTGTAAGTTTTTCTTTCACCTTTTTTGTTATCATAATTCTCTTGGCCTTGAATTTTTCTGTGACCCTAAGAAACTAGAACATCTACTTCCAGGTGTTATAGTCTCTTAAGCTAGACTGTTCTAGTTCCACGAGGGCACATGGCACAGTGGATGAAAACGTTAGTTAGATCCAGTGACAGGACCCAAAGAGTGTGAGTTCAATACCTGGTTAAGGCAGTGGAGAACTTTCAGAGGGGAATTAACAGGAGATAACTGACATCCATTAGACATGGCCCGTGGAACTAGAACAGTCTACCCCAGTGAGCGAAATAAAGGGTTCAGTTCGACATTCCAACCACCTGAAGAAGGCCGGAGCGTACAACGGCAGAAATGTTGTGATAAACATGGCGACAAAGATGAGGACAATAGTCTGAATAATGTAAATAGTGTACATAGTACCTCATCTCAGAAATATAGACAAATACAGGATGATATTCTTTGAGGAACTGTACGATGCGAAAAGGAAAAGGCTGAAAGAACTAGATCATTTTTGTCTCTGCCTACATGAGGCTTGTCAGCCGCCCCACAAAATGTAGGATTGTCCTGCATTTTAATTTTTTAATCATTTCACCAATCAAGTAAGGCGATAATACCACGATGACGCAGGAAGTTACAGAGAAGGAAAGCGAATGAAAAGACTTTAGTGAGGAGAAAGGACAATAAAGGAACAGGATTCAGGAACACAGAAGATGGCGATTGACGTTGTATTTAAATTTTTTAATATTATAGGTGGTGGGAAAGAAAGAAATCGGTAGGAAATTCCACAGACGAGAAATGCGAGAAAAGAAACTATTAGAATAGAAATGGCTGTTGTATCTAGCTAGTTCAGCAGTAAAATGGTGAGACCTAATTTCCAATCTAGTAGAAAGTTTATATGCATGCAGTCGAGGCACTAAGGGAAGAAGCTCATCAGAACAGTTACCATGCAAATATTTATAAAAAAAAAAAGAAAAAAAAAAGACAGAGCGAAACCATGTCACGTCGGTGGGAAAGTGACTGAAGCCTGGATGGCAGGTCAGGACTGATAACATTGCAGATTCTTCTTTGAATTTTGGCAAGAATCTCGTAATATACAGCAGGAGCATCAGACCAGATATGGCAACAGTATACAATAGTATGGACGAATAGTTGGTTTATAAATGCGCAAGATGAATTCTGACGAGAAAAAATTTTCCCGCTCAACACAGTGAACCAACTTTCCTAGCAGTAGACCTAGCAATTGATTCAATGCTGAATGACACGGCCGGTGCAAGGGCCCCGTGCTCCCAACCCCGATTCTATGATACGGAGCCCCTACCCTTATTACATCCCATTTTTCATAAGACAGTATTCATATAAAATACAAATTTTATTGTCAACTAATCATGTACAATAATGAATTATATGCAATATAGGTGAACAATTCAACTAGAAAAATTGAAAATAATTACAATGCATCTAAATACAAATTAGAGTCATATCATAATAGATCATTTCTTGGTCCTGGGTATGACGATAAACTACATCCGGCAGCAAGGTCTCTGAGTGGGAAATCGCAGGCTTTGAGGAATGTGGAACCACCTCTTAATTGCTATTGTTCCCAGGTTCACCCTGACCCGGGGTGGTAGCATCTACTAGGGTCCCAGCTTTAGGCAAATAGTGAACCCCCAAACAAAAACAAAACACTATGAAAGTATAAATAGAAAATTTGTAGTAAAAATACCAGCAGTATATTTTTATATAAAAAAATTACCGACAATATCTTTTTATAGTAAAATGACCAACAATACATTTTTAAAGCAAAATGACTAACAATACATTTTATCTGTAGCAGAAGGCATACAATTGTGTTTAAAATATTTAGATTTCAGCATTAATTAACCCATAGCGGTTGTTATGCCGCTAAATAAAATCAACCAATAATATATCAATCATTCCATCTTAAATAAATCAACAATGTTTTGCGGTAATTTTTATCAACTTTGGATTTTTCTTGTCAAAAAGTTGAATAATTATAATTATCGATAAAAATTAATGATTTTTATATCGTGTTTTTTCGCGACTTAGCATGAGCAAAACAAATTCTCAGATTTGCAGCCATCGCCCACGCTAGAATTGACGTCAAAATCAGCGAATTTTTATCATCCTTTTTAAAATCAGTTGTGCTTAGTTTCATTTGTAACGTATATAAATGTCGGTAAGAAAAAGCAAATGTTGAGATCACGAGAGTCACAAAGCACTGACCAGGACTCCCACTCCTAGTCAGGTTTGCCCCCGCTCGGCGTGTTTGTGGGTAGTACGCACTAGACCTGAGACGCAGAATGTGTTTTTATAATGCATTTTAATAAGTTATGATCTTAAAAAATATACTTAATAAACATGAATGATTACATATGAATGTGAAGATGCCTTACATATATATCAAAGGTATTTCTACGAGTAAAAAAAGATATACATGATGTTTTTTTGTTTTTTTTCTATCATTTTCCTTAAAATGCAGTTCTGTTCCACTCTAAAACTCCAAATGAACTATAATTTTGCACTGACCATATAAAATTCTGTTACAAATTTCTCTCTCTCTCAAAAGCACTAAACTGCTTTAATCTCGCTACTCTATCGCTATTTCCATGGCAAATATTCAGACCTGCTACACTGCTTAGTTCCACCAGTTCAGATTTTTACAGCTAGGACCAGCCATAGCACGTACACGGGGTCGAATCATCCTCATTCTTTTCATATTCCATTTGTAAGTATGATGTACCACTCAGGCAGCTTTTTCTCCAGAACTGTTACTATATGGGACAGACTACCGAGAGAATGCTTTCCTGATCACTACAATCTTAACGTCTTCAAGTCTAAGGTCAACCGTAATCTATCCTACATATCTTCATAATATGTAGTTCTTACTCCCCCCCCCTTAGCCTCTTATAACAACCTTTACCCTTTACCTTGTGTGGCTCTTGGGCCTTACATTGTATGAACAGCAGTATTAAAAAATATATCAACTTTCCGGGTCGGTGGACATCTAATTTGAGAACCTGTTCCTAAAGGAGTCAGCAATTCCCATGGTTGGGAATCAGATTTAGAGAGACGTTTGAGTTCCTGCAAAACTAATTTTTATTGTTCACTTACAATGCAAACTGGTTCGCCCCACTTCTTGAAAGATGAGTAGAACAATATGAAATGTCTGCCCCACACTTGGCTCTGAGCTCGACTTAAGCTATAATTAATAAACATAAAATAACAAAAAGAAGTAATTGTAATAACTAGGGAATGAAGAATTTCTAGTCATTGTCATTCTGCTTGAAAAGAATGAGATACATTTCAGAATCAGTTCCTTACAGAGGTTTTTAAAGTCGTGCACTCAGAATTAAAAAAAATCACCCTTTGTCATTTTTTGCTCTTGGAATAGAAACCCCATTCTAGAATGCGGTTATCATTTTTTTTATTTCTTAATGTAAACTTTTATTTAGTTCCTATGGCAATAACCACCCTCGCTTCTCTTCTTGGAGGGTGGGTACCGTTTAGCTATGTCGCCATCGCAATTGTTTGTGTGTTTAATTCTTGATAAGAGAAAACAGATTTACGAATTCTAAGATAGAAAAGTTTTTTTTCTATGAAAAGAAAATATAAAATTACTAAAAGGTGAAGGCCGGTTTTTCCATGAAAATTTTTGCTTTACTAAAAAAATGTCGCACAAAAGCTGATGTTATTGAAAAAATAAAAATAAAAAATAAAACAGTCACTCACTGCAACAAGTGTGGGAAAAAAACTGTCACCCACCTTTTTTCTTGTTTTTTTTTACTGACTTTCTTTTTCGTTTTTCTTTTATTTTTTTACGCTATCTTTTTTCTTTTTCTTCTTTCATTGTTTATTTTTGTCTCTCTCTCTCTCTCTCTCTCCTCCTCTTTCTCTTTAGATTAAAATAAAATTTAAAGTAATTTTTGCTGTATTTTTTAATATTTGTCTCTCTGTGTTACTGTCAAACTTTTTTTAAAATTTCCTTCAGTGACCAATCTATAAAATAAAAAATTCTAATTCGAGAACAAGTTGCCAAAGAAATCAAGTCTTATTTTTTCTAATTCTAAAAAAAAATGTTTGGCAATATTGAAATCATAAAGAAAACCCGTCAAAAACAAAGCAAAAATAACAACAACAAAAAAATAAAATAAAATATATTTTAACAATTATGCAAAATAAGATAAATTAATTTTATCTTTTGGGGGGAATTGAATTCATAGCATTATAAAAAACATAAATAATTTATGAAAAATGAATTTATGATAAATTCATTTTCATTTTTAATGCATAAAATTTAAAAATATAATCTAAAAAGAAAAACAATATGAAAGAAAATGAAATATTCATTTTTTTACTCACCATCAATGATAGATCCACTTTTAGTTTTTTTAACTTTTTTTAGTCAGTTTTAGTTCAGTAATTTATTTTCAGATGCCAATGTCAAAATCTTTCAAAACGGAATTTAAATAAAATTTGAACTTTTTTATCGATTGTTTTAAAGACCGATTTTACGCAACTTCAGTAGAGACGACGAAAGGTGGATAAAATATTCAGCAACAGGATGGATGGCCGCGCTATAATTTTTCAGATGCCTTTTTTTTCTTTTTTTTTTATCTCTGTAAGTCAGATCAAATTCGAAATGGTTAAAAAAGGAAAGTAGTAGCAAGTGATAGATAAGTAAATCATTTATAATAATACTAATTACCGTAACCACTAGTAATGTCAAGTAAAAAAAGTATGTTTGTTCAGCCCATATACCCACAGCTGGGTCAGGCGCTCAACACACAGAGAGAAAAGTGATGATGTGTGACCCACAAAATGATCTAAACATTTGTGTGAGTTATTTTCTGATTTTGTCTCTTGTCATAAGTAATTTGCTATAAAAACTAATCAGCGAGCCACTATGTTTCCGCTTTCCTTTCGTTTGATAAACTAAACATAATCTGACGACGACGGTGATGATGATGATGATGATGATGATGATGAAAACCTAAAAGCAATGGAATTGCGCCTGGCCAGAGATGCGAAAAGAAATTGTGGCACATGATGGTGACACGATCTTCTTGTAGTTTACTTACGAGAGGAGGCACCGTTAATTAGTTTCTGACCCACATAGCTTTCATCATGTTAATGAAATTAAATGGAAGACAAAAAAAAAAAAAAAATGTTGTTTACAGTTATTTAGTGCAAATCGTTGTCTGAGCACTCGGAACGGATCCCGATAAATCTAAAAACGCAAAAAAAAGGCAGGAAGAATTGTAACTACGTAGAAGAATCGAAATCATCTAAAAAAATAATTAAAAAAAAAAAAACTCCCCCCCCCAAAAAAACGATACAACTGAAAGCAATTTCTCGGGAGAAGATTTGCTGTCACTTGATACCCAATGTACCCCACTTGTTGGTATTGGTGTGAAAACAACAGCACCAATAATAATAATAATAAATTTGTTAGTACTGCTGTGAAAATAATAATATTAATGAAAGCACAAACAACAATGGAAGAAACTTGTTGTCACTTGATACCCAGTGTAACGCCCTTGTTAATAATGGTGTCAAAGAAGCTATAAAGATCGACATGATAAGATTTGACAGTATATTCCTTAAAGTTTAAACTATATAAATATTACAGGCACTATATGAAAAAAAATTGTATGAACTTTTGCCTGAACCAATCATAGAAACCATGACATCACTAAACTTTGGAGAATGGTTATTTTCTAAGCGTAGCTTAGATGTGACACAAGGCCGAACGTTTGGAGCACCTAGTGAGGATCGAACTCACTTTTCAGTTGTAACTAATCTAACGAGACAAGCTTGATAACCATTACACCACACTGGGTGCCCAGACTTTGGAAAATGTTTATTAGTAGAAACGGTAAACTTTCCTACTGAAAAACACATAAAACTAAAAGCTAATAGACCAGATATAGTGATTCTTCTTTTATGTGCCGTGTCCTTTCAGGACGTAGACGATCATGGCTCTCCACCTCCTCCTGTCCCTTATAGCTTTCAATAAGTTTTGTCTTTTTGCCATTTCACTCAGACCCCGTTCTGCCATCCATTTTTGTTTAAGTCCGTTAAGTATGTCACACGTTCCTTTCCCTTGTCTCTCTTTCCCTCCATCCGCCCTGTGAGTATCAGATTCTCCAAGCCCTCCTTTCTCATTACGTGTCCCAGAAATTTCAGCTGCCTCTTGCTGATGTTAAGTATAAGATTCTTCTTTGTTTGCATCCTCTCCAAAACCTCGTCGTTGCTCACATGTTCGGTCCATGGTATCCTTAGCATCCTTCTGTAGAACCACATTTCTGTTGCTTCAAGTCTCTTCTTCATCTTCGAGGAGACCTTCCAACATTCGCTGCCGTAAAGGAGGACAGATATCGCGTAGCAGTTCAGTAATCTTTTGTTTTTTAGAGACTAAAAAAATAAAATGTTTACACATTGATATGTCAGTGCCATATCTATTAGAGAATATGAGAAAATAAATAAATGTAAGGATTTAGGAACTGAAATTGGAATTAAAATGGGACCATATGATCAGTGTTATTATTCCTCGAGCCCCTTCTGTTTATCTCAAGGTTCTTGATAAAATCCACAGACGGATATGAAAAGTAATTGGCTCTGATTTGGCATCTCGTCTGCAGTCGCTCTCTCACAGATGTGCCGTCGCCTCCCTCTGCCTTTTTTTACAAATACTTTCATGGTAACTGCTCCGAGGAGCTGCTTTCGCTGGTTCCTAGACTTCATGAATTTAAGCGTTTAACTCGGCTGGCATCTCGCTCTCACCCTTTCATTGTCGAAACTGTTAAATGTAGTCGTCTCTTCTACTCCAATAGCTTCATGTCTCGCACTTCTCGCCTGTGGAACTCCCTCTCCTTTTCTTGTTTCCCTGATAGCTATAATCTCCAACTATTCAAATATAATGTCAATCGACGTCTCCAGATGCCTTGATCTATCCCCTATCCTTCTCTTCATCCTTTCCTCTATCACTCCTTTTTGCTCTCGGTCCAACTCTCTGTAACCCCTTCCGTGCTAGTGGCTTCCCGCCTTGCTTGAGGTGAAACGATTAAAAAAAAATTTTTCTAGTCTTGGGCACTATAAAAAAAAAACCAAAAAAAAACGTATAGGAAGAACATTAACAAAATATTTGATAACCTCGTTTACAAGAGACTAAAAAAAAAAAAAGATTACATTTGGGTGGGACTGCTCATTTACTCGGGAGAGTTTTGTCAATGTATAGAAAATATATGCACTGTACATAGGTATCACTTAACTTCAGGAGTTTCGCAAACAGGATGTATATAGTTACTTCAGTGCAGCAGCAGCAGCAGCAGCAGCAGCAGAAGAAGAAGAAGAAGAAGAAAAATAATCGTCACCGGTATTGCTGTTAAACCCACATTAAAATGACTGCGTCACATTCGGTAGCGACGAATATGCATAATATATTTACTATTACATTTACTGACCTGAATGTTCGATAAATTTCGCAGAAAATATGCGTTCACGGACAGGAGTCGAACCAGTGTCCTATACGGAACCATCAATTGATCTGACATGTTATACTACTCAGCTACAGAGAAAACTCTGGTTAGCAAGGTCCAAATTACTGTTTTATAAACAACAAATCTTCGACGATCTTTCCCGAACGATCATATCTGCTCACGGAACGTACCTTAACGTAAACATTGACAACATATTATCAACTGGATTAAGTCCGACATTTATTTAATATATTTTCTGTTTATACGTTATATTAATATATACAATTTATTTATTTATTGGTATATCACGTCAGATCAATTGACGTTTCCGTATCGGATACAGCATCTATTAAAATAACTTATAGACAGATAATATATTAAATAATTGTCGGACTTAATCCATTTCATAATACATATGTATAAGAAAATAATGGATTTATTTTTAATCTGACATTTTTATTACTTCAGATGCTATTATAGTGGACACTTCTTATTTGAAATAGACGCCCCGTTTTTATTCATTAAACTGTGAGTATTACGTCTATCGACCTGCGAATTCGAGTTATCTAAGCTGTAAACGTTTTAACTGGTGGCACGAGAGAATGTAACTTGTTAGATATTCCACACTACAACCTCTTTCCCGAAGACGAAATGTCACAAGTCTCTCGCTACACTATCTATATAGAGAGTAGAGAGAGACTTGTGACGTTTCGATTTGGGGAAAGAGGTGATAGGGAGAAAATAATTAATCAACCACAAGACTGCGTAAAACACTCTCTGTCAAGCCTGGAAAGTGTGGTCATGGCAGCTCCAGCCCAGATATACCAGCAATATTCCATTTTTGGTTTGATCTGATTATTGTAAAGAGAGAGCCTAACAGGAGGAGTTAGCGACACAGGGAGCCGACCATGGATCGTAACCACTCATCATGATTGATTAGTGACTTTAATCCTCACTGAGCGGCCCACAGTTATGGTGTCGCACCAGATAACTTTAGGCGGCTCGGTGTTACGTAATAGCTAATAAGCTAATTTGGTGGATCATTACTAATTGAGTATTGAGATCGATCTTCACTGTGTCCCATAATTATATTATTCGAATCTAAATATGTTCGAATCCAAATAAAAGCTAGGGTATAGATTTTCAAGGCACGAAGAAGTTCTCTCATTCTGGAAGAGAGGAGTCACATAATCTTCCTGCCACCATTTGACCTTGTGCTGTACTAAGCAAAACTCAGTATATATATATATATATATATATATATATATATATATATATATATATATATATATATATATATATATTTGCAACAAAAACATATAAGGGTCGCTACACACTTGGTGGTCGTGTTTCAACGCATACGATACGTCTCCTCAGGCGATTGTAAATTACTGGCGAGTGAACGATTATTTTGATTTCAAAAGCAAATATATCCTCAATTTTTTTTTTTTTAAATTATAAAATAAAATAAATAAAAGCTTGTGGGCTTACCCTGATCAACCCCTATTTTATAATTTATTTTATAATCATTTTTATTTTATAATTTTTTTTTTAATGAGGATGTATTTTCCTTTTGAAATCAAATCATTCGTAGGTAAATTACAATCGCCAGGCGTGACACATCGTTATGCGTTGTAACACGACTGCAATTGTGTAGCGATTCTTACATGTTTTTGTTGTAATATCCTAAAATAAATAATATTGCTCGACTTTGCATTGAGCCCACTTGTAAATTAAATGTTACAAACGTTGGAAGTGTACTGTATTTGTTCTCGTCGTACCTGGTATATATATATATATATATATATATATATATAGAGAGAGAGAGAGAGAGAGAGAGAGAAAAAGAGATGAAAGAAATAGACAAATGTTTGACGATATGTT